TATTTTTGTAAACCTTTAGATTTGTGGTTGAAACACAAAATGGCCGCTTCCCTCTGAAAACCTCCATTAACAAAAACAATGTTTTTACTCAGAGCCTCGTGTCTCAGGAAGAGATCAGAGATGTGGATGAAACACGAGGTGAAGCTCAGGACAGAACATCTGCATTTCAGGTAACCCTCTGTCCTGAGCTTCACCTCTCCACTTTTACACTGAAGAAGAGTTAGGACATTTCTGTTCGGTCTCCTGTTGTTAACTTTGATGTTCTGACTAACTGTTGTATTTTTCATTTCCTGTTTGTTGTTTGTTGTTTGTTGTTGTGAGCAGTCAGCTGTTGTGTACAGTTACACGAATAAATTACATCAAATATGAAAGAAATGATAGTTTGACTGTTGCTCTGTGAAACTGATATCACTGGCTGGCCCTTTAAGAGTCTTTCTCTAACCTGCTGTGAGTCACTCACCTGGGCCAGGTGTGTTTCAGGTGTGTGAGAAACATGCTGGAATGCTGCCATCCCGCCCCTCCCCCTCTGCTCTCTCTGTTTTTCTCTGTCTCTGAGCCACACCCACACCACAAGGCTGGTATGTAACACACACACACACACACACACACACACACACACACACACACACACACACACACACACACACACACACCCTGCTCTGTTCAACCACAGGACTGAAGTGTGTGAAGAAATAAACTGAGCTGTCAATCATCAAACCAAGGTCGAGAGTTTGTGGCAGGACACGCCCCATTGACCAATCAGAGGAGACGAAGACTTTCACCAGGAAACCATCAGACCACATGAGCAGGGATGTGTTAAGGATCATGTGACATCATAAACCCAACGGCCAATCAGGATTTGATTGTGCAGATCTGAACTGAACCTTTACCCTGTGTGTGAGTGTTGGCTGTGGCACACACACACACACACATGTTCACACACACACACACACACACACACACATGTTCACACACACACACACACACACACACACACACACACACACACACACACACAGACTGAAATAACTGAGTGTGGATGTGACTCCGCCCACACTGTTTGATCTTCTGACAAACATCAACACACAATATTTACACCACAAACACACATCCTGCTCTCTGATTGGCTGTCAGCTGGTCTGTGACATATCAAACTGATCAGCTGTTTCCACTTCATTAAACTGCAGCTGCCACAGCAGCAGCACTGAACCCTGGGACCTCCTCATACACCTCCTCAAGACCTCTACCCCCTCCTCAAGACCTCTCCCCCCTCCTCAAGACCTCTACGCCCTCCTCAAGACCTCTACCACCTTCCCAAGACCTCTACCACCTCCTCAAGACCTCTACCACCTCCTCAAGACCTCTACCACCTCCTCAAGACCTCTACCACCTCCTCAAGACCTCTACCACCTCCTCAAGACCTCTACCACCTCCTCAAGACCTCTACCACCTCCTCAAGACCTCTACCACCTCCTCAAGACCTCTACCACCTCCTCAAGACCTCTACCACCTCCTCAAGACCTCTACCACCTCCTCAAGACCTCTACCACCTCCTCAAGACCTCTACCACCTCCTCAAGACCTCTACCACCTCCTCAAGACCTCTACCACCTCCTCAAGACCTCTACCACCTCCTCAAGACCTCTACCACCTCCTCAAGACCTCTACCACCTCCTCAAGACCTCTACCACCTCCTCAAGACCTCTACCACCTCCTCAAGACCTCTACCACCTCCTCAAGACCTCTACCACCTCCTCAAGACCTCTACCACCTCCTCAAGACCTCTACCACCTCCTCAAGACCTCTACCACCTCCTCAAGACCTCTACCACCTCCTCAAGACCTCTACCACCTCCTCAAGACCTCTACCACCTCCTCAAGACCTCTACCACCTCCTCAAGACCTCTACCACCTCCTCAAGACCTCTACCACCTCCTCAAGACCTCTACCACCTCCTCAAGACCTCTACCACCTCCTCAAGACCTCTACCACCTCCTCAAGACCTCTACCACCTCCTCAAGACCTCTACCACCTCCTCAAGACCTCTACCACCTCCTCAAGACCTCTACCACCTCCTCAAGACCTCTACCACCTCCTCAAGACCTCTACCACCTCCTCAAGACCTCTACCACCTCCTCAAGACCTCTACCACCTCCTCAAGACCTCTACCACCTCCTCAAGACCTCTACCACCTCCTCAAGACCTCTACCACCTCCTCAAGACCTCTACCACCTCCTCAAGACCTCTACCACCTCCTCAAGACCTCTACCACCTCCTCAAGACCTCTACCACCTCCTCAAGACCTCTACCACCTCCTCAAGACCTCTACCACCTCCTCAAGACCTCTACCACCTCCTCAAGACCTCTACCACCTCCTCAAGACCTCTACCACCTCCTCAAGACCTCTACCACCTCCTCAAGACCTCTACCACCTCCCCAAGACCTCTACACCCTCCTCAAGACCTCTACCACCTTCCCAAGGCCTCTACCACCTCCTCAAGACCTTTACAGCCTCCTCAAGACCTCTACCACCTCCTCAAGACCTCCTCCAGGACTCCCACAGTGTTCAGACAAACTAAATTAAACATGAAAACAGAGAATCCTCCTCAGTGATTGGTTGTCAGGTGTCTGTTAAAGACAGAGTTCAGGTAAACCGTTTGACCAGTTTCCTAAATAAAGGTAACAATAGCAACAACTCACATGCTTCAGGCTACGTTAGCTGTTATAATGCTAAATAATCCCTGTGTTATAATAATATGGCCATACTTAAATTAGGTTTGTATAATCATGTAAACCTCTGACATAAAAACCACATATGAACATTTTCTATTGCACATTATCTCTTGTTGTTTTTCTCTCTGTTTTTCTTCCATTCTTCAGTTTCTGTTGTACTAATAAAGTTTTCTGAATTGAATTGATCTTGTATTTACATATGAGGATATATTGTGAAAACGTGATTTTATGAGTGATACAGACATGAATTACAGCTCTGAAGTCAACAGGTAAATGGTCAGCATCCTATAGCAATATCAAAACTCTTATTATGTGTTTTCTTAGATACAGAGGTAAAGAAAACAAATGTCTGGTTTTAAGAAACAACACAATTTAAACACAATGTAAAGCACCATAATTGATTTAATCAATTCTAACCTATAACCCAATGTAATCCAGTGTGCATATATATTTGATGCATTTATGGTTCATGTGTGACTAAACATGTAATTTACACATGTGGCTGTTTGACAAATTTTTCTATGGGAAATTAGAAAGTCAGTTAAAATCTTGTTTTTAATAAGATAATTTCTTCTTCTTCTTCTCTTTTATTTCTTTTTACTTTTCATTTTCTTTTGTGTTTAAGTGTTTTGCTTTAGTTTTAGTGATAAATACACTGACTGTGAATTGTATGTGTTTTTCATTTTCTCATTAGTCTTCCAGAATATTTAGACTTTTTTAATTGTATTCTGAGAATGTGGGAAAACTTTAACGATAAACTGATTATACACAACATGTACTCTAATGTAGTCTTTACAGTATATGTCTTGTCTGTATTAGTTCCAATCAAACTGCAGCTGGAAATGATCATTACCAGTTAAATTCACAAGGAAAAATCTAAATGTTTTTAAATAATTTCCCTTTTCTTTCATCCACACTCTTTTTTCTGCATATAGTTAATGTATAGTCTGTAAGTAGGACACAGTCCCTGAACTTAACACACCCAGTGACACATTCCAGCCAACAACACAAACACACACACACACACACACACACACACACACACACACACACACACACACACACACACACACACACACACTAATGTTAACCAAGAATCATTTTTCAGCCTGTAATCAATCATTACAGGTACTATTGTAATGTGGGAACAGATCTATGTCCCTGTAACGTACCATTTGCAAACACAGTGAAGATTTTTATTTTAGTAAAAACAAGTTTTTAAAAAAAAGTTAAAAAGTTCAAAGCAACAAGACAAAACCTGAAGACGGCGCGAACACACACCAGACGATCACACATTCACACGGTTTGTAGAGTTTTACCTGCAGTTAACGTCAGATCCAACCATCCTGCTCTCTGTGTTTTCTCTCTTCTATTCCTCAAGGGGCGAGTCCAAATCACAGAAACAGGTTCTTCTCTCTCTCTCTCTCTCTCTCTGGCCCCGCCCCTCCCTGACCTGCCAGTCCCAGCTTGTCCTCCTCCTCCTCCTCCTCCTCCTCCTGAGTTTACATCCTGTTTGACAGATAGTCAGACCTGCAGGTCAGCAGCGCCCTCTGCTGTTCAGACTTCAACATGAACATGAACACATGATACACTTTTAAATACATTACAAAAAAAATAATTATTTTAAACCTTTATAAACTTTGTTGATGATCTATACAGTTCATTTATCATTTATTGATGGTTTATTGAGTTACATCTGAATTCAACGTGTCAGATAATTCAGTTCATTATCAGCTTCACATCAAACAGAACTCAAAGGATCTTTTTATTATTCTTATTAACTGTGTTATTTGGTTCATTCAGCTGTTATATTTTAATTTAATGTAATAAATGTAAGTTTTTAATTATTTCGAGATATTTCAGTTACATCATCAGTGTGAATGAGATTCTCAGAAAACTAACATGCTGCATTATTAAAACATTGATGTTCGTTATGAATGGACACAAAGCAGTTACATTAATGTACTGTCTATTTAACATGAACAAAAGTTTAGACACTTACACACAGCTTCTTCTTCACATCTTCACATCCAGCTTTGCTTGAGTGTCTTCACTGTCTTCGTAGTTTTTAAATCTGACATTCAGCCACTCATCTGTCTTTAAACCTTCAGAGGAGCCACTTCTGTCAAGTTTGTGTCTCTCACCTGCGGAGGTGTAGTGCTGTTTGTTAACGTACCCGAGCTGTTGAGCTGTGGCTCGTTTCAAAGGTTATGTAACCACTGTTACCACAGTGACAAGTTTACACACATTAGCTGACTTGAAATATCCATTCAGAAATATCCATTCAGAGGAGAAGCTAAGCTAACAAGAGAGGCTATGAAAACATAGCTAAGCTAACAAGCTAGGCTAAGCTAATAAGCTAGGCTAAGCTAGCTTTCTGTCATGTTTCTGTGTAAATCCATCACAGATACAGAAACTGTCAGGAAGTGAAAGATGAATGAAAAGATGTTTTAATTTACTGAGCAGCTCAGAGGCTACCAGCAGCTACCGCCATCTTTTAAGGTGGAATGTTTTCCTGAGTGTTACTTGATGCTCAATTGATGTTTGTAAATCAGTCAATACACCTTAACTGTCAACATGACTCTGATCATTAGTTATCAGCTCTCCATGACAGACTCTTTTGTGATGATCGGATCTTCAAACTCTGAAAATGTAGATAAATATCAACGTGATCATGTGACTGTTGATATTTTATTTCATCGCTTGGAGAAATAAAAATGGCGGAGCGTCGTTCCTTCACAGCTGCACTCACGTGACCAGATCTCATTGTGAAAGCTATATCTATCTATCTATCTATCTATCTATCTATCTGTCTGTCTGTCTGTCTGTCTATCCATCTATCTATCTATCTATCTATCTATCTATCTATCTATCTATCTATCTATCTATCTATCTATCTATCTATCTATCTGTAATCGGGTCTCAGACCTTTTGGAATAAAAAAGAAATGACACATTGGTTGAGAAACAACATATATTTATTGATTACATAACACCCCCACCCCCACCCCCCAGCTGATGTTATAAAGACATACTGGATCAGAGACACAAACCAAATGTGTAGTTTCATCACACACACCCAGAGGTTTTATTTCAGACGTGGAGGCAGAGTCAGTATCTGACCTCAGCTTGTCGGGGGGCTGCTGACCCTCCCCCATTTCCAGGTGTATCTGCGGAGGTCGTCGCCTCTGTAACTTCATGTCAGCTGTGAGGAGGTTACTGTGACGACCCCGTTATCTCTGATTTCCTGAAACAGACAGAGAGATAGGAAGTGAACAGGTCAGGTTTTATTAAACTAGTTTTATTTTGAAAGTTTGAACAGCTGGTTTGTGGCACCTCACTGCCATCATCATCACATGCCATAGTGTTTACTGTCAGACTTTACTGGTTTCAACTGTTCACACCTGGACTCTGGTTCCTGTCAGAGACACTTTCAAATTAAAATATTTCTTGTTCCCTCAATGATGGATTTTATTGATCATTGATTAGAGACGTTTAGTTTTGTGTCTTCTGCCTCCCCAGCTTTAAACTGTCTCAACACCTGAGTGAAGAGGTCCAGGTGTGAACAGGTGAGGGAAGAGGTTCAGATGTTTACCATCTGTGCTGGTCTGTGACAGATCCAGCACCAGATCGTTCCTGTGGATCTCCCTCAGGACCTGCATGGTCACGTCCAGCGCCTGCCGGGGGTCGAGGCCCATCAGCAGGTTGACTGTTTTGGGCCTGTCTGTGTTCTCCAGGTCGGACTGTGGGATGTTGGTGCAGGTGTCCAGGTGCCACTTGAACTCCTCAAACTGTTCTTTGTTCAGAGATTTCAGGGTTCGCAGGAGTAAAGATTTGAGCTCAGCCATCGTCTCTGTTGGAACGAGACACACGTCAGTTTCAAACAAAACAGACTTTTCACTCACTGCTGTCAAACATGTCCACATCTCAAGGACGCAGGTTTGCATATGGACGGGAAAGACATGACCCTACCAATATCTGAGTGAACCTGTTTGCACTATGTTTGGGGTGAAGTCATATTAGATCATATTTGACCCCCCCACTTCCACATAGAGGAGAGCGGATAAGTGTCAGTCCAGACCTCAAACGTTGGTGAAACTGTAGTGTTTCAGATGACTCTGTCCTCTGCTGTCTGAACTGCAGCTCACATAATCTCACGTTCTCATATCATGATATCATTCCACTAAAAACAGAGACATCAGGAGCTTTTTCACCACAGAGAGTATTTCAGCAATAGGTTGTAAACTAACTAGCCAGCAGCTAGCTAGCTAACATCGCCAGACTTCCATAATCAGATGATGACGTGTCACTGGATTCGCATCACTTAAAGTGACAGCTCTTTATCTTCCTCTTCCTCTATAGTCAGAACAAAGTGAAGTTTACCTCTTCCTGATTCACTCAGCTGCCCTGCGTGATACAGTGCACGCTGTAGGTGCTTGTGCGTAGGAATACGATACTTCAGCAGTTGAAAAATGCAGTAAAGAAGTTCTGCTTTCACGGGAAGATAAGGATGAAAATCTTCTACATGAAGCTTCATTTAAACAGATGTTGGATTGTTTCAGTGGGCGTCTTTTAAAAGTGTCAAACAGGTGTTTTCTTCTGGCCCCGCCCACAGCAGCTCATCACTCTGATGCTACTGCAGGAAACGCACTCACTGAACATGACGACCTCACACAACCCCACGTCTGATAACATGAACTGTCTCTTTAAGTGCTGTAGCAGGTGAAGGTTTGCGATGAAAGGTGAACTGCAGCACAGGTAGATCTACTGAATATAAACACGTTGATGTTGGAGGCTAAAATATTGTTTTTATTGCTTTCCCAAAATGTTATTCTTTGTTAATAAACCATTCGATTGACAACATTGAAAAGTTATTGTGCCTTAAAGACCAGTGTTAAGACCAAACCTACAGCCTTTAGTTGGACATGCTGTGCTCCACTGAACACAGGTGTGTTTCTACACCTGCTCCGCCACTGACATGAAGCATTAAGGCTGTAAATGAGGAGGGCACTTTCTGTGTTTCAGGTCCTCCTGTGTCAGGCTCTGCGACGATGCGCCCTCTAGTGGTCACAGTGATTATGACAGGCGCAAAGCAGGAAGTCAGGTGACGTAGTACAAAAAGCGACAGAGTCCACGTCAGCAGGAGGAAGTCGAGGTCATCATTGTTTCTCTTATTCACAACCTCAACCGAGTGTTTATTATTGTTACCATGACGACAAAGGTCCTCGAACCTCAACAAGGAACCTGTCTTAACCCAAACCAAATCTGTCTAACTGCAACAGGAAGTCAGGCCTGGATTTTCAAATTAAAATACTCAGTTTTAGTGAGACTGTAGATCTGTCAGTCATCTGGTCAAGACTTTTATTTTTACTCTTTATATTTATTTTCAGCAGGAAACGACAAACACTGTGATAAAAAAACACGACATTCACAATAACATGTGAGTTGAGTTAGCCCCCCCCCCCCTTCCTCCACATTACATCACTTTCCCGCCATAAATCCTGTGGCTGAGTTCCAGAGTTCAGTGTTAACATGTTCTCAGATCACAGACAATAAAGTTTCGTACAAACTGAAACCTGACGAGAGAGAGAGAGAGAGACAGAGAGAGAGAGGGAGGGAGAGGGAGGGAGAAAGAGAGAGAGAGAGAGACACAGAGAGACAGAGAGAGAGACAGAGAGAGAGAGAGACAGAGAGAGAGAGAGAGACAGAGAGATTTTTTTTTTGATTTTTAAAGTACTTTATTTAAAAAAATCTAGTTATTGAACATGTGCCAGTTCATAACAAACACAGATTCACAGAATCTGCTTCACATCAACACATTTCTATAGATCAGTTGGTCGTCTACAACAGAGCAGAGTACATTATTAAAACTCCATATATCACAGAAGAGAGACAGAGAGACAGAGAGAGAGACAGAGAGACAGAGACAGAGAGAGACAGAGAGAGAGAGAGAGACAGAGAGAGAGAGAGAGAGACAGAGACATAGGGAGAGATAGAGAGACAGAGAGAGAGAGAGACACAGAGAGAGACAGAGAGAGAGACAGAGAGAGAGAGAGACAGAGGGAGGGAGAGAGACAGAGAGAGAGAGAGAGAAGAAAAAGTGAAGAGAAAAAATGTTTAAAAACTCACTGAATGTTTTCCTTCTCGTTGTCTGCTCTTCTCTCTTCGCGCTGTCTGAACTCATGGAGGCGGAGCTACATGTGGGCGTGTGTGTGTGTGTGTGTGTGTGTGTGTGTGTGTGTGTGTCTCACACATT